AAACAGTATTTCTTGCTGTTTCTTTGTCAGTGTTAATGTGGAGAGTGTCTGGTTTGTCCACCCTGGAACATGAAACATATCATTGTCCTTCTGTAAGGATCCCTTTCAAATTTATGATACCATATGTGTGTGTGTGAATCATATCTCTATCTATCTATCTATCTATCTATCTATCTATCTATCTATCTATATCTATGGCTGGATGGCTCTTTGTCAAAAGAACTTTGATTACGTTTCTTGCCCTGATGAAGGGAGTTGGATTGGATGGCCTTAAGTATTTTCGGTTGGTCATGGGGGTTCTGTGTGGGAAGTTTGCCCCGGTTCTGTCGTTCGTGGGGTTCAGAATGCTCTTTGATTGTAGGTGAAATGTGAATCCCAGTGACTACAACTCCCAAATGTCAAGGTCTATTTCCCCCAAACTCCGTCTGTGTTCATATTTGGGCGTATTGCGTGCTTGTGCCAAGTTTGGTCCAGATCCATCACTGTTTGAGTCCACAGTGCTCTCTGGATGTAGGTGAACTACAACTCCCAAACTCAGGGTCAATGGCCACCAAACCCTTCCAGTATTTTCCATTGGTCATGGGAGTTCTGTGTGCCAAATTTGGTTCAATTCCATCATTGGTGGAGTTCAGAATGCCCTTTGATTGTAGGTGAACTATAAATCCCAGCAACTACTACTCCCAAATGACAAAATCATAATTTTTTGAGTGATGGTCACTCCTTGTGTTGCCAAATTTGGTGTGATTTCGTTCACTGGTTCTTTTGTTTTTTAGGTACTCATTATGCACAGAGCATTTATATATGTATAGATATTACATGTAATATTACTAATAATAATACAATATAATGGTATAGTACAATATAGTACTATTTAATACTGATATTGTACTATGTTAATAATATAATATAATATATTGTATGTATATATATATCTTGTAAGCTGCTCTGAGTTCCTTTCGGGGTGAGAAGGGTGGCATATAAATGTCATAAATAAATAAATTCTAGCTTGCCTTGTACTTGTGACAAACTTAGGGATTTTTCACAGAAGGAAACCAAACGGCAAAGTCATGTTTCATTAAGCTGAAAATGGTTTACTTAAAAGACTTGACTTTCCTAACTTAGCTTTGGAATCTGCTGCTGTTAATGAGCCTTCCAACATAAATTGTAAATAAGTGGATACCTGCAGACTAAATCTCACAGATGGCAGTAATTTGTATGTTTCTGTATGACGCAGGTACAAAGATGACCCCTGGCTATGGGACCTAGAGTGGGACCTTCAAGAATTTAAGCAGAAGAAGAAGAAAAATGGGAGGAAAAAGGATCGAGACAGTAAAGTGGTGGGAAAAGAATCCATGACAGAGTGCGAGGAAGGTAAATCAACAGTATGAAGATCATAGCTAACTGCTGCCTTGCTAGTATGGGACATAGGGCTGGGCAACCACAGAAAAAATTGTTTCTAAATTCGATTCGTTTTTAGGGGGTTTTTGCGTTTTGTTATTTAAAAGAATTCCGAAATTTTTCTTTTAAAAAGTTCGATATTTACGAAATTTCTGAAATTACGAAACAATTTCGAAACAATAACGAATCGATTCGTTAATGGTGGACGCGATTGCGCAATACGCTAAAAAACCTCCAAATGGGACAGGGGGAACTTCTGAAGCTTCCCTCTCCCTCTGTTGTTGACTGTTGGCGTGATATTTATAATTTTTTTTCACTGATTAAACAAACAACAACTATAAAACTTGCACCAGACATACGGAAATAATTACGAAACAATTTCGAAACAATTTTGAACCAATTACGAAACAATACGAAATAAATTGGAAAAATTGTTTCGATTTTTAATTACTCCTCACAGTAGTCCTACATGGCTCAATATTGGATCGTAAGCTAATTTAAATACGAATTAATAACGAATTACGAAATTAACGAATGAAACCGCCCAAGCCTAGTGCTTAGCCATGCTCACGTCGTCCCTCTGCATGGCAGCTCGCCACCAGGGAAGGACAAACAACAACTATAAAACTTGCACCAGACATACGGAAATAATAACGAAACAATTTCGAAACAATTACGAAACAATTACGAAATAAATTTTAAAAATTCGTTTCGATTTTTAGTTGCTCCTGAATGGTTCAATATCGGATCGTAAACCACTTTAAATACGAATTATTAACGAATTACAAAATTAACGAACGAAACCGCACAGCCCTAATGGGACAGTCTGGTTTCATTTGTTGGAATTGTGTGTTTCTGGGAATATTATTTACTTACAGTATTTATATTCCGCCCTTCTCACCCCGCAGGGGACTCAGGGCGGATTACAATGTACACATCTATGGCAAACATTTATTTATTTATTTATTTATTTATTTATTTGAGGTACTTCTACCCCGCCCTTCTCACCCCCGAGGGGGGACTCGTGGCGGCTTACAAAAGAAGGCACAATTCGATGCCTGTGTCAAAAATACATACATACATAAAAGCAATTAAATAGTTAACAGGTTAAAATCATCAGTACATAAGAGGGGAGGCCTGGTCTCTGAGAGGTCCCCTCTCTCTCTCTTGTGGGGTTCCTCAGGGGGCCATTCTCTCCCCTCTGTTGTTTAACATCTATATGCGACCACTTGCTCAGCTGGTTCGAGGTTTTGGGCTTGAGTGTTATCAGTACGCCGATGACACTCAGCTGGTGCTGAAGATGGAAGGCCGACCGGACTCTGTACCCGATTGTTTCCATCAGTGCCTCGAGGCCGTTACTGGATGGCTGCGTGCCAGCAGGTTGAGGGTGAATCCAGCAAAGACGGAGATCCTATGGCTGGGTGGACCGGGCAGTGGGACATCCATCTGCCCACCCTGGATGGCGAGGCGTTACGCCCGTCATCATTGGTAAAGAGTCTGGGAGTCCTTTTGGACCCTCTGCTGACAATGGAGGCCCAGGTCTCCACCGTGAGCAGAACCGCCTTCTTTCACCTGCGGCAGGCTAGACGGCTGGCCCCCTACCTGTCCAGGGACGACCTAGCTACGGTGATCCAGGCTATGGTCATCTCAAGACTGGACTACTGTAACACCCTCTACATTGGCCTTCCTCTGTCGGTGATCCGGAAGCCCAAGTTGGTACAAAATGCAGCTGCTCGGCTTCTTGCGGGAATTCCGATGAGATGCCACATAACACCAATCTTACTACAGCTGCATTGGTTACCAATTGAGCACCGGATCACTTTCAAAGTGATGGTACTCACCTTTAAGGCCTTGCATGGTCTGGGGCCAATGTATCTGAGGGACCGTCTCACCCCCTACCAACCCCAGAGATCCCTCCGTTCTGAGGACCAAGATCTATTGGAAGTCCCCAGTGTCAAGACCTTGCGTCTAACAGCAACCAGACGCAGCGCCTTCACAGCAGTGGCACCATCACTCTGGAATACTCTGCCACCTGAAGTCCGTGCCTTGCGGGACTTGCCAGATTTCCGCAGGGCATGTAAGACATACCTGTTTCGACAGGCTTTTAATGTTTGATACTGTTGCTTTTAAATTGTTTTAAATTGCTTTTAAACTTTGTTAGATTTTAGCTATTCTTGTAAGCCGCTCCGAGCCCCAGGGGAGTGGCGGCATATAAGTTTAAATAATAAATAAATAAATAAATAAATAAATAACACAATAGTAAACAGTCTCATGCTCAGTGTTCAGAGTTCCATAAATCCATTCCGTTCCGTCAATTCCTGCCCATTATCAAGGTCTTTTCTTTAACTGCCAGAATGTCCAAAAGCCTGGTCCCACATCCAGGTCTTCAATTTTTTTCTAAATGAAAAAAAAGGAAGTCGCTGATCTAATCTCCCCGGGGAGTGAGTTCCACAGGTGAGGGGCCACCACCGAGAAGGCCCTGCTCCTCGTCCCCTCCAGCCTCACTTGTGATAGAGTCGGGGTCGGGAGCAGGGCCTCCCCAGAAGATCTTAAGCTCCGAGGTGGGACATTCAATGCCAAAGACGCACAACAGATATAGACAAACAGTCAGAGGCTATTTAACGAGAGCTGTCGCTTTCATCGTTCATCTGCGACACTGATGAAGTACTTCCGCATTCCCCGCATGCTTTTGCTGGAGTGCTTTGCTGGAGTCTTTTTTATGGCCTCATAAATTAGTTAATTTAGCCTCCCCACACAAGGTGGTACCTAATTTTCCTACTTGACAGATGCAACTGTCTTTCGGGTTGCAAAGGTCACTACCTCACTACCTCTGAGGATGCTTGCCATAGATGCAGGCAAAACGTCAGGAGAGAATGCCTCTAGACCGTGGCCATATAGCCCGAAAAAACCTACAACAACCCACTATTCTTATGCTGTTTGGATATTCTTCTGCTGTTATGAGAACAGCTCCAGATTATTGTGCTGTCACTTAGAAATGCTGCTTTCTGGGTTTCTTTTTTAATGTCATGAGAATAGATCCTGGCCCTCCAACGGAAGAGGAAGAACAGGGCATCCATGAGAGTCGGCTGTCCCTGAATCGCCTAAAGGAAACGGTGGCTTTGCAGCTGAAGAGGATTCAGCATCTGCCAGGCCATCCAGGGTGAGTTGCACAAGGAAAATGACGTATGCTGATCAGATGTTAAGATTTCCCCTTGACATTAAGTCTAGTCAAATCCAACTCTGCGGGGTGATACTTCTCTCAGTTTCTAAGCCGAAGAACCGGCGTTGTCCATAGACACCTCCAAGGTCATGTAGCCAGCATGACTGCATGGCGCACCATTACCTTTCCACCAAAGCTGTATCTATTAGGCTTGGGTAACCACGGAAGAATTTGGTTTTAAACTCGTTTTGTTTTTAGGGGTCCATCGCGTTTCGTTTTTTTAAAGAATTCCGAAATTTTCCTTTTAAAAATTTCGAAATTTATGAAATTTCGTATAATTACGAATCGATTCGTTAATGGCGGACGCGATTGCGCAATATGCTAAAAAAACCTCCAAATGGGACAGGGGAACTTCTGAAGCTTCCCTCTCCCTCTGTTGTTGACTGTTGGTGTGATAAAACAAACAACTATAAAACTTGCACCAGACATGCGAAAATAATTACGAAATAATTACAAAATAATTACGAAATAATTACGAAATAATTACAAAAATAATTACGAAATAAATTGAAAAAATTGTTTCGAATCTAATTTACTCCTCACACTATTCCTGCATGGCTCAATATTGGATCGTAAGCTAATTTAAATACGAATTAATAACGAATTACAAAATTAACGAACGAAACCGCCCAAGCCTAGTATCTATTGATCTACTCATTTTGCATGTTTTCGATCTGCTAGGCTAGCAGAAGTTGGGGCTAACAACAGTAGCTCACCTCTTCCTGTGGATTCGAACTGCCAACCTTCCAGTCAACAAGTTCTGCAGCTTAGCGGTTTAACCCAATGCACCCCCACAGCCCCCTAAAAAAGTTTTGATGTACTTTTTCTAATATGGGCTAGTAAATATGGGGTTTGAAACCATTTTGTCGAAAGTTTCCATTGTGTTTCCTTAATCCTTAGCTGTTCAATTTTTTTTCATTGTACTTCTCCAATTTTCAGTGTTGTTTTCATTAGTATTTAGTATTCCTCCTTCCATATCTGGATTGGTATATGTTTCAAATTATATATTTTTTCCTGCTATTTTCCCATACATCTATCAATCTAAATCGATATCTATCTTCTGCCCAATTTCTTTTTCCTTCTCGATTTCCCATTTTTAAAATATGATCTAGATTTTGATTTTGCGTTTTATGTATTTTGCTCGTTTTATTGTGTTTTGTGTTATATTGCTTGTATTGTATCAATGGGCCTCATGTAAGCCGCACCGAGTCCTCCTGGGGGAGATGGAGCGGGGTATAAATAAAGTATTATTATTATTATTATTATTATTATTATTATTATTACATAGACATTTATCAGTCTCCTGCCCAATTTTTTTCCTTCTCGATTTCCCATTTTTAAAATATGATCTAGATCTGCTTCTAGGCTTTCCTTTCGCTTTAAATCATCATCTTAAAATATTTAAGGGCTGCTTTTCCTCCCTAGTGTAGGTGGTACCGCAAATTGTGCCCGCGGTTGGATGACCCCAGTTGGGTGCCCGGCCCCAGCCTGATCAGCCTCCAGATGAGAGTGACTCCAAAGCTCATGCGGCTCACCTGGGATGGCTTCCCATTGCATTACTCTGAGAAATATGGCTGGGGATACCTGGTGCCAGGGAGGAAGGACAACCTGGCAGAGCCCGGTCCAGACGATTCGCTGCCTACCTGCCCCTTCAGGTAAGAAAAATAAGTGCTTTTGCATGAACGCATTTCTGTATACGGACCCACACGATCTCTTTGATCATCTGGAGAGGCCCTGCTCGCGATCCCACCTGCATCGCAAGCGCGATTGGTGGGGACGAGGGACGGGGCCTTCTCGGTGGTGGCCCCACGACTCTGGAAGTCACTCCCCAAGGACATCAGGCATGCCCCAACTCTGGCAGTCTTTAGGAGGAGGTTGAAAACGTGGTTGTTCCAGTGTGCCTTCCCAGAATAAGAAAACTCCAAGCAATTTGTCCCAAATGCACCCTTATTAGAGATCTAGGATTATCTGCACGCTCCACCTGTCTTCAAAATGCCTAACCTATTTCACCTGGTCATGCCCAGCATTTTTTAACAATTTTCATTATTACACTTGGCCCTGCCATAGGTTCTTTTAATGCGCCGTGGTGTTATTGTTAATGTTTACTGCTTGTTTATGAGTTTATTTACTGTTGTATTGTTGTTGTTGTTGTTTTACTAATGTATTTGGGCTCGGCCTCTTGTAAGCCGCACTGAGTCTTTCGGGAGATGGTAGCGGGGTACAAATACAGGTTTATTATTATTATTATTATTATTATTATTATTATTATTATTTTGGAGCAGGCATGGGCAAACTTCAGCCTTCCCTCCACGTGCTTTAGACCAACTTTAATTAATGTTATTATATATATATATATATATATATATATATATATATATATATTCATGGTTTTATATTGTTGTTTATTGATATTGTGGCATTGAATTGTTGCCTATGTTAACCGCCCTGAGTCCCCCCCCCCCCCCAGGGGTTGAGAAGGGTGGGGTAGAAATGCTGTAAATAAACAATGTAAATAAATAACTCCCAAAGGGCCAAAATTATTGTTGTTACTGTTAGTATGTGTTGTTGAAGGCTTTCATGGCCGGAATCACTGGATTGCTGTGAGTTTTCTGGGCTGTATGGCCATGAAGCCATTCTCTCCTGACGTTTCGCCCACATCTATGGCAGGCATCCTCAGAGGTTGCGCTATCTGTTGGAAACTAGGCAAGCGGGGTTTATATATCTGTGAAATGTCCAGGGTGGGAGAAAGAACTCTTGTCTGCTTGAGGCAAGTGTGAATGTTGCAATTGGCCACCATGATTAGCATCGAATGGCTTTGCTTCAAAGTCTGACTGCTTCCTGCCTGGGGAATCTTTTGTTGGGAGGTGTTTCCTCATGTGCAGTTCAGTTGCATGTTTCCCTTCTCCCTTTCTATAGGGTTATTGAGCATCTATATCGGGAGCATTGCAAGGAGAAAGGCAAAGAGGAGCCCGTTTCACTGGACAGCTCCCTGGAAGAAGAGCACATGTTAACAGAAAGCAGCACTATCTGGCAAAAGGTAAATAGGTGCATCAGAATTATTATATGTTCCTAGTTTGAAAGTGTTACTTCCTGTTTAATTGTGCGGAACTTATTTTGAAAGTCTTTGTTTTACTCCAGGAATGTTTTCATTTTTATGGTTGACACAAACTGTTGAATTGGTTGAGACTCTATGATGACATATTCCTTGAAAAACTATAGCAAAAACACTGGCATGAATTCTGTTGCTAAGGCCATTGAATAGATGAGATAATAATAATAATAATAATAATAATAATAATAATAATAAGAAGAAGAAGAAGAAGAAGAAGAAGAAGAAGAAGGAGTAGTAGTAGTAGTTGTTGTTGTTTAGTAGTACTCTGGGACTTCTGAATTCAGACAGACAGAGTTTTAGAGCACAATAATCTTGACCTCACAATCATGTTAAAATACAAAGTATGGATCATCGATGTTGCAATCTCAGGTGACAGCAGGATTAATGAGAAACAACTGGAAAAGCTGACACGAAATGAGGATTTAAAGATTGAACTGCAAAGACTTTGGCACAAGCCAGTCAAGGGGGTCCCAGTGGTGATGGGCACACTGGGTGCAGTGCCTAAAGACCTTGGCCAGCACTTAAACACAATCGATGCTGACAAAATTACCATCTGCCAGCTGCAGAAGGCCACCTTACTGTGATCTGCACGCATTATTTGACGATACATCACACAGTCCTAGACACTTGGGAAATGTCCAACGTGTGATCCAATACAACAACCAGCAGAGTGATCTTGTCTGCTGTGGACTCACCTTGTTGTGTTAATAATAATAATAATAATAATAATAATAATAATAATAATAATAATAATAATAATAATAATAAAATAAAGACTCTGGCACAAGCCAGATAATGTGGCCCCAGTGGTGATTGGCACACTGGGTGCAGTGCCTAAAGACCATGGCCTGCACTTAATCAAAATTGGTGCTGCCAAAATTGCCACCTGTCAGCTGCAAAAGACCACCCTACTCGGATCTGCACGCATTATTTGCTGATACATCACACAGTCCTAGACATTTGGGAAGTGTCCGACGTGTGATCCAATACAACACCCAGCAGCGTGATCTAGTCTGCTGTGGATTCATCTTGTTGTGTTTCTAATAATAATAATAATAATAATAATAATAATAATAATATGTTATAGCAAGATGTCCCTCCCAGAAAGACAAATGTTTTTGCAGTTTAATAAACGTTTCCCACATTTTTATGACAAACCCAAATAGGAAATGACATTTTAAACCCAGGAACGGAAATCATGTTACGTAGTGCTATCAGCGCTACCTTTCTACATGCAGGGAGTGTCCCATATGCAGTTGAATGTTCAATGAAACCTTCTCTTGGTCATATGGAGAATTATGGAGGTATTATGAAGATTCAGAGAGGAAAAAGGGGTAGAGAATGTTCACGATGTGTCTTCCTGTTTTGTCAGGTGGAAGAACTCAGCCGGATGGAGGTGGAGATGGATGTCGATGCCATGACCAATCAATTGAGGCAGGTAATGGCATGGCGCATCAAAAGTGAACAAAACAGCACTTGGCACATGTCATTCAGAACTGTGGGCCTGGGATCCTGGATAAAGAGATGTAGATTATAAAAGCAGATTTCCCCAGACATTTCCTCCATTCTGGAACAGACAGCGGGAGGGTTTGGGCATACAATCAGTAGCTGCAGAACTTTGCTGCCTGCGAAAGTGAGACAATGGGTGCGTATGACATCCCAGGTTTATTTTCTTTTTTTGCATTCTTGTTTGATGTCCAACAGGATGAGATGGGGTTTGCCCAGAGCCATCCCGAATATCACCACGGCAACGGACCTTACAATGAGGTCAATATACCTGGATGCTGGTTTTTCAGGCTGCCGCACAAGGTATGTGCAAACTTCCCAGGTGTCTCTTGTGTAGCATTGGCTGTTTATTTTTTTATACAGGTCTATAGTGACAGAAATTGGGAGCTATCGAGCATTCCACTATATTTTTGGGGATCTGGGTACTAAAGGCCTCAAATGCAGGCCCGTTGCCTGTATTTTCTCCATCCCTGCTCTGTGTATTTTATTTATTTATCGTGTCATCAGCAACCATACCATTGTATTACATTTCTAACAGAACAAAACAAACAAACAGATAAAAAAGCACAAATTTTGCAAACTTGGTAGTTGATTAAATGTCCTTTGACCAGTATCTGGCCACTTGGAGTGCCTCCGATGTTGCTACAAGAAGGTCCTCCATGGTGCATGTGGCAGGGCTCAGGGTGCATGGCAGCAGGTGGTCAGTGGTTTGCTCTTCTCTGCACTCGCATGCCGTGGACTCCACTTTGTGGCCCCATTTCTTGAGATTGGCTCTGCATCTCGTGGTGCCAGAGCACAGTCTGTTCAGTGCCTTCCACGTCGCCCAGTCTTCTGTGTGCCCAGGGGGGAGTCTCTCATCTGGTATCAGCTACGGATTGAGATGCTGGGTTTGAGCCTGCCACTTTTGGACTCTCGCTTGCTGAGGTGTTCCAGTGAGTGTCTCTGTAGATGTTAGAAAACTATTTCTTGATTTAAGTCGTTGACGTGCTGGCTGATACCCAAACAAGGGATGAGCTGGAGATGTCTCTGCCTTGGTCCTTTCACTATTGGCTGCTACTTCCCGGCGGATGTCCAGTGGTGCAATACCGGCTAAGCAGTGTAATTTCTCCAGTGGTGTAGGGCGCAGACACCCTGTGATAATGCGGCATGTCTCATTAAGAGCCACATCCACTGTTTTAGTGTGGTGAGATGTGTTCCACACTGGGCATGCGTACTCAGCAGCAGAGTAGCAAAGCGCAAGGGCAGATGTCTTCACTGTGTCTGGTTGTGATCCCCAGGTTGTGCCAGTCAGCTTTCGTATGATATTGTTTCTAGCACCCACTTTTTGCTTGATATTCAGGCAGTGCTTCTTGTAGGTCAGAGCATGGTCCAGAGTGACTCCCAGGTCTTTTCAGCGCCTTTTGGGTGCGCTGCAATGCTCCAGTGGGATTCCTTCCGAGGTAATAATCCTCAGAGCTCGGGATGCTTGTCTGTTCTTAAGGTGAAAGGCACATGTCTGTGTTTTAGATGGATTAGAGATCAGTTGGTTTTCTGTGTCCTAGAGTGCCATTGTCCTCTTTTCTGCTGTTGTAAGGATGGGGGTGACAATAACGTCGGAAGCCCTTTTGCCAAGGATTTCTTGTCCAAGATGGAGGATGGCACCCTGAAAGCTGGCATTGGAGCCACGGATGGGACGCAGGCTCTTGAAATCAACAAGAAGATCTCCTTTTGGAGAAATGCCCATAAGCGAATCAGGTGAGCAGGGCGTCTTGAACTCAAGTACAGGTAATGCGTGGCTGCATTGTGTCTCCCCCTGATAATTATGCAATGCTTTCTGTACTCTGGAGCCCCCTCTTCCTCCCCATTCGGCCTTTTTCCATAGCTAATTCAACTTCTCATGGTTGGATTCTATAGTGATAAGAATGAGACGACTTGATGTCATAAGAGCTCTCTGTATTGGCCACGGAAAACTATAGCTTGCCTACATAAGTTGTTGTATAGGTAAAAGTAAAGTTTTTTTTTTAAAATAGCTTTGAATGCTGAGTTATAAATATTATGCAAGTATTATTTATGGTTGGGATGGCCCACATATGGCCTTCCAGGTGTTCTAAGGTTAGGTAAAGGCAAAGGTTTTCCCCTGACATTAAGTCTAGTCGTGTCCGACTCTGTGGGTTGGTGCTCATCTCTATTTCTAAGCCGAAGAGCCGGCATTGTCCTTAGACACCTCCAAGGTCATGTGGCCAGCACGACTGCCTGGAGCGCTGTTACCTTCCTGCAGAAGCAGTACCTATTGATCTACTCACATTTGCATGCTTTTGAATTGCTAGGTTGGCAGAAGCTGGGGCTAACAGCGGGAGCTCACCTCACTCCCTGGATTCAAACCACCAACCTTTCAGTTAGCAAGTTGAGTCCCCCCAGGGGTGAGAAAGGCAGTATATAAATACTGTAAATAAATAAATAAATAAGTTTAGCAGCTCAGCAGTTTAATCCACTGCACCATTATAATATTACAATATATAATAATAATCAATAATAATAATAATAATAATAATAATAATAATAATAATAATATAGGTAAAGGTAAAGGTTTTCCCTAGACATTAAGTCTAGTCGTGTCCGACTCTGGGGGTTGGTGCTCATCTCTATTTCTAAGCTGAAGAGCTGGCCTTGTCCATAGACACCTCCAAGGTCATATGGGCAGCATGACTCCCTGGAGCGCTGCTACCTTCCAGTCAGAGCAGTACCTATTAATCTACTCACATTTGCATGCTTTTGAGCTGCTAGGTTGGCAGAAGCTGGGGCTAACAGCGGGAGCTCACCTCGCTCCCCGGATTCGAACCACCGACCTTTCAGTCAGCAATTTTAGCAGCTTAGCAGTTTAACCTGCTGTGCCACCAGGGGATCTTGCCCAAATTCTCAGTTTGCAGAGAGCTCAAGGAAGATTATTTTCTGCTAGATATGTATAATAGACAAGAGTAGTTCGTATTGTCAGACTTCATGATTGATTTCTGGAAGTCCTGGATTAATTGCCGTTGTGAGATTTTTTCTGTGGCTGTCTAGATTTGAAAAGCTCATAATGAAGACACGAATTATACAAAAACGAATTCTTGACCTTCTTTTGTGTTTGCTTTTCAATGCAAATTTACCGTGGTCCCATTATTTGTCCCCTCAGTTCCCAGATGGTGGTGTGGTTGAAGAAAGGGGAGCTTCCTCGATCAGTGACCAGGTATTTAGATGGAGATGTTCCCCATATTGATATTTTTCTCTGTATTCTCTAATATTTTAACTCTAGACATGTTACTAAAATGATTGACACAACCGTATGACAAAGATGACAACCTACAGATAGCCGTCTTGTTGATTTCTGGTGCACTTTTTCTTTAATGATGGCCCTAGATAGATAGTTGTGCTGCCATGTGCTGGGCCTATAGCAACTGGCTTTTGAACAGGATGTGCTCTTTGTGCCCAGCAGGAAGCCGTGGTGCCTCGACTGAGAGGCCCTAAGGATTTTCCTATACAGAGTCTTTAAAAGCTTGAATGGTGTAACAAAGTCCTTTATTATTGCTTAGGTCTTCAACAAAACAATCAAATACTTCTCGGATCTTCAACAGGTCAAACGAATACTTCAAGGCTTTGGATCAACGGGTGGCTTTCTTAATCTTGTCCACAAGGGACAGGCAACTGGCTTCATGAACTGTTTCTTTTCTTTAAGAGGAAAACCCTTTTTAACCCCTCCTTGGGCAATCTACTTTCTAAACTTTGCTGGTGTGGGCTCTACTCCCGGCTCCAAACTGCTTCTTGGGTCCCGAGTAGACCTACCAGTCAAGGCTTTGTAGATTCTCCAGCTGGAGTCTTTTGGAACTGTTTCCCCCTCGGAATTTCCCCCGGATGATGTGAGAATCATAGAATCATAGAATCAAAGAGTTGGAAGAGACCTCTTGGGCCATCTAGTCCAACCCCATTCTGCCAAGAAGCAGGAATATTGCATTCAAATCACCCCTGACAGATGGCCATCCAGCCTCTGCTTAAAAGCTTCCAAAGAAGGAGCCTCCACCACACTCCGGGGCAGAGAGTTCCACTGCTGAACGGCTCTCACAGTCAGGAAGTTCTTCCTAATGTTCAGATGGAATCTCCTCTCTTGTAGTTTGAAGCCATTGTTCCGCGTCCTAGTCTCCAGGAAGCAGAAAACAAGCTTGCTCGCTCCTCCCTGTGGCTTCCTCTCACATATTTATACATGGCTATCATATCTCCTCTCAGCCTTCTCTTCTTCAGGCTAAACATGCCCAGCTCCTTAAGCCGCTCCTCATAGGGCTTGTTCTCCAGACCCTTGATCATTTTAGTCGCCCTCCTCTGGACACATTCCAGCTTGTCAACATCTCTCTTCAATTGTGGTGCCCAGAATTGGACACAATATTCCAGGTGTGGTCTGACCAAGGCGGAATAGAGGGGTAGCATGACTTCCCTGATCTAGACACTATGCTCCTATTGATGCAGGCCAAAATCCCATTGGCTTTTTTTGCCGCCACATCACATTGTTGGCTCATGTTTAACTTGTTGTCCACGAGGACTCCAAGATCTTTTTCACACGTACTGCTCCCGAGCCAGGCGTCACCCATTCTGTATCTTTGCATTTCATTTTTTCTGCCAAAGTGGAGTATCTTGCATTTGTCACTGTTGAACTTCATTTTGTTAGTTTTGGCCCATCTCTCTAATCTGTCAAGATCGTTTTGAATTCTGCTCCTGTCCTCTGGACTATTGGCTATCCCTCCCAATTTGGTGTCATCTGCAAACTTGAAGATCAAGGCTTCTCTACAGGTGGAGCCAATCCACGTCCTGTAGCTAAGCTTTCAACTGTAAGACTGAGCTAAAATGGCTCCCTTTCCTTCCTGAACCCTGGGGAAAGGGGCGGAACTAAAAAACCCAACGATGATAGGCAGGTGGCCGCAAACCCAGGGAAGCCACCTTATTGCAAAATGCATGGAATTTTGGAATACATGCAAATACTCAAAGAAAGAAAAGGAAGTTGGAGCTCCTGGTACAGCTGTACCAGCATAGATAGGTAGATAGGTTGGTTGGTAGATAGATAGCAAATTTTAGGATTTCGATATTATTGCTTAAGGAATTTTAAAAGACAGCAATACCACCCTGAGGAAAAGTGTTCTTGCCATACATCAAGGGAACCACTGACCGCATAGGGAAGCAGATGAAGAAACACAACCTACAAACAATCTACAGACCTACTAAGAAAATCCAACAAATGCTACGTTCAGCAAAGGACAAGAGGGATCCTCTCACCTCTGCAGGAGTCTACCGTGTACCATGCAGCTGTGGACGTCTACATAGGGACCACCAAACGCAGCTTTGCCCAAACACGAATCAGGGAACATGAAAGGCACGGCAGACTACTTCAACCAGAGAAGTCAGCCATAGCAGAGGACTCAATGAACCAACCTGGACACAGCATATTATTTGAGAACACAGAAATGCTGGACCACACCAACAACCACCATGTCAGGCTACACAGAGAAGCGTGAAGAGCCCTTACCTTTAGCAGCCAGAATGTGGGCCTAGCGAAGACTGGCGGTCTAAACAGTTAAAATGTGGGCCTAGCGAAGCCCTGGCAGCCATTTTAGATTAGGGAAACAGGGAGACGCCATCTTAGGTCAGGTTTTCTTAGAGGGGGCGTGTCCTAGTCCAGTAAGCAAAGAGTAGATAGCCAGGATTGGTTAATAGGGGGCAGAGCCTAATATTCAAATAGAGGAAAAAAGTGTACTTTTTGAATTGGCAGTTGGAATTTGTCAGTTGGGAGTTAGATGGTCGGTTGGTGTTCACAGTTGGATAGTGCTAGATAGGAGAACTGAGTTAATCTTTTGTAGTATTCAAGGGCTAGAGGAATTAGCCAGGAATACTAACAGTGGGAACAGGACCTTGCTTATGGTCTGTTTCTTTCATTCCTGAGGAAGGCTAGGCCAAAGTTGTTTGGCTAGATTCCAGAAAGTGGGAATTTGGTTTGGAATTATCATCAGAGATTAGTTTCCTGAGATAATCTCCTGTTTGTTAACTCTAGATTTGAACCCAATACCCATCTAAGAATTGTACATCAAATGTAACCAAAAGCTTTTGTGCCATTAACTTACAGAAACCATTACGCATTTGTACCAGAAGAGTTTAAGCCTGTTAAATAAATGTTTCATTATAGTTAACACTTTACAACAGCCTGTGTGTGAAAGTCATTGGTATTTAAGCCCTCTGAAGAAAGTAAACACTATAGTAACACAGAAGGGTGTTACTAAGTATCCTCTCCACACACATAACTCAGCCTGAATACTAAACAATAAGGTGGCAGCGTACCCAATTGAAGAAGCCTTTTAAAAACCTCTCAGTTCAGACATCATTCAAATATATCTATACACAGTTATATCTTTATTTGTTTTATCAATTTCCTCCTGTGATCCTTAGTGTGAAGTTCCTTATAACTTCTGGTAGATTGTGGGATTCACTATTTCAGAATTCTCTGTTCCTTCTACCTGCTAAAAGAAGCTCCTTGGTGTGTGATATTCATTATAATTGGTGCTACACAGGTCCTGCTATCCTTATAAGAAGCATGTGGACAATGTCAACAGAAAGGAGGAAACCATGAAAATGAACACAATCTGGCTACCAGTACTAAAAAATTCTAACATCGGGACAGTAAATAAAGAACAATACTAAAAAAAACCAGGGGAATTCCAGACAAGTGGTGGCCTCGGAGAGCACAGAAATGTTGCCTCTTGAAAATTATTACAAGAATTCCAGACAAGAAACAACCAGAGCCAGCTGACACCTCCCAACAAAGGATTCCCCAGCAGCAATCAGCTAGGCTTTGAAGCTGCAAGACCATTCAGTGCAATCAAGGTGGTCAATTGCAACATTCACACTTGCCTCAAGCAGACAAGAGTTCTTTCTCCCACCCTGGACATTATTCCCCAGATATATAAACCCCACTTGCCTAGTTTCCAACAGACCTCACAATCTCTGAGGATGCCTGCCATAGATGTGGGCAAAATGTCAGGAGAGAATGCTTCTGGAACATAGCCATACAGCCTTTTTACATAAGGAAAAATCTATAAAGTTAATCAGCTTGCATTCTTTAGTTGCCTAAACAAATATTTTTGCTAGGAAAACAAAGTTTTTTTTTCTCTCCTTTGCAAAGAATTATAGCAGTACAAATAAAAATCAAGGTAAATGTGGATATCTGACAGTGAATGGGTTGGAGAATGTCCCTCAAAAGTCATTAGATAAAAGTGGTAGCCTCAGAGAGCACAGAAATGTTGTCCCTTGAAAATTATTATAAGAAATGTTACCTCAATGTGTTGTCAAAGGTTTCATGGCTGGAATCACTGGGTTGTTGTAGGTTTTTTGGACTATATGGCCATGTTCTAGAAGCATTCTCTCCTGATATTTTGCCTGCATCTATGGCAAGCATCCTCACAACCTCAGAGGATGCTTGCCATAGATGTAGGCGAAATGTCAGGAGAGAATGCTTCTAGAACATGGCCATATAGCCCAAGAAACCTACAACAACCCAATATTACCTCAATTTAATAATTAAATTGCATCACATGTTGCACTATTTTTAGGCATCTGGACTATGACGAAGAAAGCTACTATGGGGCCATCTTGCCACAGGTGATCACTGCGGGGACCGTCACACGTCGTGCCGTAGAACCTACCTGGCTGACTGCTAGCAATGCCAGAGTATGTATACTCCTACTGATTGTTGTTGTTAAGAGAAGTATTTATTTATACTTACTTATACTTATATTTATATTTGTCAGCAGAATATTCTGAGATGTTTGATTGTCAACAGGAATACTAATTTTCTCCATAAGCAGGGGAAAAAAAACCACATAATTGGAATAGGATGGAATAGTGTTTTGTGTGTGTGACATTTCTTGTGTGGAGAAAGTCTGCAGTCTAACGAAAGGGGGTTCTGGTCTCATAGGCCGACCGAGTGGGCAGTGAGCTGAAGGCTATGGTCCAGGCCCCTCCTGGCTACCACTTGGTTGGAGCGGATGTGGATTCCCAGGAGCTCTGGATAGCGGCTGTCTTGGGGGAAGCCCATTTCGCTGGCCTGCATGGTGAGTATTGGAACTGCCCTCTCACTTTTGGCCTTTTCCCTCCACGTGTTTTGGACGTCAAACTCTCACAATTTCTATTATTTATTTATTTACGACATTTATATGCCGCCCTTCTCTGTCAGAATAGTTGTAGTTATTTCACATTTATGTTTTTCAATGCGTTTGTATTAGCATTGCAATGTATTAGTATTATTTTTCAAAGATGGATTCAGTCATGTTCATTTATTTATTGTTCAGTTTACATATGCAGTAGAATTGTTATTGTTACCAAGTGATAACACAAAATTCCTTTGCCCTGAGAAAACTAGGGAGTGTACCAGCCAAGAACATAGGATCTCTCGTTTCCTGTGTGTTTTCTTGCTATGCTTTGTTCGTCGCCATCTTTAGTTCCATCATGTAGTCTTTTGTGTATAGACGCTTTAAGTAAAAGCTACCTTGACATTTAAGAAGAATGCTGACTGAGTTTGTTTATTTTGAAACCTCACGCTTGCTGTGTCTAACTCTGACATTCTCACCCCGAAGGAGACTCAGAGCGGCTTACAAGATATATACCTGTCCGAATGTATTCTCCCCTATGAACCATCTAGGTTGTTAAGATTGTCTGGAGGGGCCCTGCTCTCGGTCCCACCGACCTCTCAGGCGCGCCTGGTGGGGACGAGGGACAGGGCCTTCTCGGTGGTGGCCCCTCGACTCTGGAACTCTTTCCCACTGGAGATCAGAACTGCCCCCTCCATTCTGTCGTTCAGAAAACGGGTGAAAACCTGGCTATGGGGTTTGGCTTTCGATGAGTGAATCAATATTTCTGTGATCGGATAGATGACGATGAATGATGGACAACGAATTCACTATGACGACTGACCATTGTTATTATGTGATTGCATTTTGCTGTTATAACGTTTTAATTGAATATGTTATATGACGTTTTTAATGATTGTTTTGTGATTTTATTGTTGGAAACCGGCCCGAGTCCCCCGATAGAGGGGAGAAGACCGGTATACAAAATTGCTCAATAAATAAATAAATATATACATACAATACTACCTGGTAGGCTGTTAGGAATTGTGGGAGTTGAAGTACGAAACACCTGGAGGGCCCTAGTTTGTTAACAAATAGTAAAAAATAACTCTCACATGTCATTCATAGTCAGAAATGAGCAATTACAACAATATCATCCTTAAACTGCTGAACTTGCTGACTGAAAGGTTGGCGGGTGAGCAGGGTGAGCTCCCACTGTTAGACCCAGCTTCTGCCAAGCTAGCAGTTTGGAAACATGCAAATAATAATAATAATAATAATAATAATAAATCTTTATTTATACCCCGCTACCATCTCCCGCAGGACTCGGTGGGGCTTACAAAAGGCCGAGCCCAAATACATCATAAAAACATAACAACAACAATACAACAATAAGTAACTCCTAAATGTGAGTAGATCAATAGGTACTGCTTCTGCAGAAAGACTGCTCCATGCAGTCATGCTGGCCACATGACCCTGGAGGTGTCTACAGACAACACCGACTCTTCGGCCTACAAATAGAGATGAGCACCAACCCCCAGAGTCTGACACAACTAGACTTAATGTCAGGGAAATATTTATCTTACCTTTAATCCTAAAAATCCGCGGATGATCGAAATGTTCTGAAACTTGGCAGGCTTATAATTGTAAACGTTGCCTACAAGTAGCCTACGAGCTCCAAAAATGACAGAGAAACGAGACTTGAAAATTTCCCCATTACCGCTAATGGAACACATGTCAACAAAACAATTGCGAAGCTTCGGAGATTCGGATTACGAAAGAAGGCCGCTCTGAATAGCTACGAAACTAAGCAGGGGCCATCCGAGTTTCCGAAACAAATTACTAATTGGATTTCAGCCACTTTATATTTCTCTGTTGCAGAGATACACACACACACACACACACACGCCTCCTGTTGTTGTTTTTCCAATTTCCTGAAAGGCTGCACCGCTTTTGGCTGGATGACTCTCCAGGGGAAGAAGACCAACGGCACAGACCTGCACAGCAAGACGGCCTCCACCGTGGGGATCAGTAGGGAGCATGCCAAAGTCTTCAACTACGGGCGCATCTATGGGGCAGGGCAGCCCTTTGCGGAGCGCCTCCTCATGCAGTTCAACCACCGCCTGACCGAGCAGCAGGCCAGCGAAAAGGCGCGCCAAATGTATGCTGCCACAAAGGGGATCCGGAGGTGAGTCTTCCTCTGGCTTACAAGGAAAATGTTTTTGCTGCTTCGCTGCCCTTTTTTTCAGTCCCTATTCTATTTCTTTTAGGTGCCACCTCTCTGAAGAAGGGGAATGGCTGGTGAAAGAGCTGGGCATCCCCATGGACAGGGCAGAGGATGGTTCTGTGTCCTTGCAAGATGTGCGGAGGATCCATAGAGAAGTGGGGAAACGGTAAGGGGAGACGTCCCTTTTTCTTCTGGATTCTCCACTGGTTCTTTTATTGATTTTTATTTGTCGTGTCAGAACAACCAGTCTAACAGAACAAAGCAAACAAACAGAAAAATACACAACTTGTGAGTTTGGTAGCTGGTTAAATGTCCTTTGACCAGTATCTGGCCACTTGGAGTGCTTCCGGTGTTGCTGCAAGAAGGTCCTCCATTGTGCATGTGGCAGGGCTCAGGTTGCATTGCAGCAGGTGGTCAGTGGTTTGTTCTTCTCCACACTCGCATGTCGAGGATTCTACTTTGTAGCCCCATTTCTGAAGGTTGGCTCTGCATCTCGTGGTGCCAGAGCGCAGTCTGTTCAATGCCTTCCAAGTCGCCCAGTCTTCTGTGTGCCCAGGAGGGAGTCTCTCATTTGGTATCAGCCATTGGTTGAGGTGCTGGGTTTGAGCCTGCCACTTTTGGACTCTCGCTTGCTGGGTGTTCCAGCGAGGGTCTCTGTAGATCTTAGAAAACTATACCAGCTTTTATTGATAATACATTTAAAATAAGCTTGATTCAAGTCCTGTGTCAGATTTGTCTAAATGCCATATATACTTGAGTATAAGCAGAGTTTTTCAGCCTTCTTTTAGACTGAAAAAGCCTCCCCCCCCCCCCCACGGCTTATACTTGAGTCAGTTATTTATTATTTAACTTTGTTATTATTATTTTATTACATTTTTATTTTATTACATTTTTATTACATGTATTATGATACTCTATTTCTATACTCTATAATACTCAAACTTAGGCCTGGGGGCTGGATACGGCCCTCCAAGGTCATTTACCCGGCCCTCGCTCAGGGTCAACTTAAGTCTGAAATGACTTGAACACACACAACAACAACAACAACAACAACAATCCTATCGCATTAGCCAAAAGCAGGCCCACACCTCCCACTGAAATACTAATAAATTTACACTTGTTAAAATTGTTCTTCATTTTAATTATTGTACTGTTTTTAAGGGTTTTTTGCTCTACACATAAGATATGTGCAGTGTGCATAGGAATTCACTCATGTTTTTTTCAAATTATAATCCGGCCCTCCAACAGTTTGAGGGACTGTGACCTGGCCCTCTGTTTAAAAAGTTTGAGGACCCCTGATCTATTTATTTATTATTCTTACATTTACATGATTTTACTCTATTGTTATTACATGTATTCTACTCTATGTATTATTATGAGCCCACGAGGACTTTGAGATCTTCCGGGGAGGCCCTGCTCTCGACCCCGCCTGCATCACAGGCACGGCTGGCGGGGACGAGAGATAGGGCCTTCTCGGTGATGGCTCCTCGGCTGTGGAACACCCTTCCCATGGACATCAGGCTAGCTCCCTCCCTGTTGATATTCCGCAGGAAGTTAAAGACCTGGCTATTTAAGAAGGCATTTGATCAATAAGTGCAATGACTGGTAATTTGACCATAGGAATGGAACAACGGAAATGATATCGGATTGTGGGTTTTGACGATGAGACGACTTGGAATGGCTTTTGTAGTATTGTTGATGTTTTGATAAGATGTTTTTCTAATTAATGATGAATTGCAGTTTAGTTATTTTGTACTATGTTTTGTAATTTGCACTGTTTTCCATGTTGTACACCGCAATGAGTCGCCCTTGGGCTGAGAATTGCAGTCTATTAGCGCAGTAAATAAATAAATAAATATTATTATTATTATTATTATTATTATTATTATTATTATTATTATTTTACTCTGTCTTGCTGAACAATCCGGTTCTGCTCTTTTACTCAAGTCAGTTATTTATTATTTTACTTTGTTATTATTACTTTTATTACATGTATTATTTTACTCTATTATTATTATTATTATTATTACATTTACATGATTTTACTCTATTATAATTATATTATTATTATTATTGTATGTAATATTTTACTCTATATCTTGCTGAACATCCAGTTCTGCTCTTATAGAGTCAGTTATTATTTGACTCTATTATTATTATTATTATTATTATTATTACATTTACATGATTTTACTCTATTATTATTATTATTATTATTATTACATGTATTATTTTACTCTATATCTTGCTGAACATCCGGTTCTGCTCTTATACTCGAGTCAGTTATTATTTTACTTTGTTATTATTATTTTTAGTACATGTACTATTTTACTCTATTATTATTATTATTATTACATTTACATGATTTTACTCTATTATTATTATTATTATTACATGTATTATTTTACTCTATATCTTGCTGAACATCCGGTTCTGCTCTTATACTCGAGTCAGTTATTATTTTACTTTGTTATTATTATTTTTAGTACATGTACTATTTTACTCTATTATTATTATTATTATTATTACATTTACATGATTTTACTCTATTATAATTATATTATTATTATTATTGTATGTAATATTTTACTCTATATCTTGCTGAACATCCAGTTCTGCTCTTATAGAGTCAGTTATTATTTGACTCTATTATTATTATTATTATTATTATTATTATTATTACATTTACATGATTTTACTCTATTATTATTATTATTATTATTATTACATGTATTATTTTACTCTATATCTTGCTGAACATCCGGTTCTGCTCTTATACTCGAGTCAGTTATTATTTTACTTTGTTATTATTATTTTTAGTACATGTACTATTTTACTCTATTATTATTATTATTATTATTACATTTACATGATTTTACTCTATTATAATTATATTATTATTATTATTGTATGTAATATTTTACTCTATATCTTGCTGAACATCCAGTTCTGCTCTTATAGAGTCAGTTATTATTTGACTCTATTATTATTATTATTATTATTATTATTATTATTACATTTACATGATTTTACTCTATTATTATTATTATTATTATTATTATTATTACATGTATTATTTTACTCTATATCTTGCTGAACATCCGGTTCTGCTCTTATACTCGAGTCAGTTATTATTTTACTTTGTTATTATTATTTTTAGTACATGTACTATTTTACTCTATTATTATTATTATTATTATTACATTTATATTAGGTAAAGGTAAGGTAAAGGTTTTCCCCTCTAATAACACAGATATCTATAAATCAGTTGTAAATAAGCAATTGTCCTATTTAAATAAGCTTCAACATAGGTACAAGTTTAAGTAACTTCAATAGTGAAACACACAAAATATATACGGTTTACAACATAATTTCATAGGACATATACATCAATGAATATATCAAACTTAAAGGCAGTTCACATTGTGTTCAGTCCATTTGAGAATATGTCCATGATGTTACAACAAAAGTTCACGTTGTATTCCACAAACTTGAGAGTATCAAAACTGGAAACAGTTTGTGTTGCTTTCAGCCAACTCGGGAGTCCACAACAAGGTTCCCCGGGTGCTTTTGTGTCCTTGTTTCAAGAACAAAATTCTCTTCTTCAGGCTTCTTTCATTAAATCAAAGGTAATAGTACTTCTGTGGTTTTTACTAAATTTAGAAAGGACAAAATAATAGATATGCTAAGTAGCACCCAGTTATATTTTGAAAATTCTTATATAAACAAAACAAGGAATTTAATTACATTAATAGCATCAATGGCTCTGCAAAGAAACTTCAATATAGTGTAGCCTGCTTCTGCTTTTAATTGCGAGCAATAAGATACAAGAGGTTACTCCCTTTTAAGGATATCAGTTCATTACCGGTGATTACAGAAAGCAAGTGAGCTCTAATGTGTCATTTAACGCTTGTGGGTGTACTGTCTGCAGTTTAGAGATCCAAAATGCTTCTCTCTGTAGTAAAGTGCTATTTTGATCTCCATGAGGCTTTGTGATTATTCTCTCTAAAGCACAGAATTTAAAACTCTGGGGTGTGGTGCTCATCTCCATTTCTCAGCCAAAAAGCCAGTGTTGTCCATAGACACCTCCAAGGTCATGTGGCTGGCATGACTGCTTGGAGCACCGTAACATTATTTTACTCTATTATTATTATTATTATTATTATTATTATTATTATTATTATTATTTTACTTGATTATTACTTGGTGACCTCCCCCCCCCCCCCCCCCACCCCCCCGACGCGAAGTCCCAGGGGGAGTCAGGGATAATTGAGCAGACTATTGTTAGGGCACTTTTCTAGCCCAAAGAACACCCACAAGGGGGGTGGGAGAAGTGGGGTGAGCAGAGTGGGTCCTCAAAAGGGCTGCTCAGTCGCAGATACAGCTGCCGAACTACTCATCTGCCTCGGTCCTTGAGGTAGCACGACTGAGTCCAGAATGAAGCAGAGAGTGTTTGAGGACCGGGACATCCGTAGGGAGACCAAGGTGCTTGTCTATAAAGCTATTGTCCTCCCAACCCTGCTATATGCCTGTGAGACGTGGACTGTCTACAGACGTCACATGCAACTCCTGGAACGATTCCATCAGCGCTGCCTCCGGAAAATCCTGCAAATCTCCTGGGAAGACAAGCGGACAAACGTCAGTGTGCGGGAAGAAGCAAAGACCACCAACATTGAAGCGATGGTCCTCCAACATCAACTCCGCTGGGCCGGCCACGTTGTCCGATGCCTGACCACCGTCTCCCAAAGCAGTTGCTCTACTCCGAACTTAAGAATGGAAAACGAAACGTTGGTGGACAGGAAAAGAGATTTAAAGATGGGCTCAAAGCCAACCTTAAAAACTCTGGCATAGACACTGAGAACTGGGAAGCCCTGGCCCTTGCGCGCTCCAGCTGGAGGTCAGCTGTGACCAGCAGTGCTGCAGAATTTGAAGAGGCATGAATGGAGGGCGAAAGAGAGAAGCGTGCCAAGAGGAAGGCGCGTCAAGCCAACCCCGACCGAGACCGCCTTCCACCTGGAAACCAATGCCCTCACTGCGGAAGAAGATGCAGAGCAAGAATAGGGCTCCACAGCCACATACGGACCCACAAGGAAATCCATAATGGAAGACCATCTTACTCGTCCAACGAGGGATCGCCTAAGTAAGTAAGTATTTTACTCTATATCTTGCTGAACATCCAGCTCTGCTCTTATACTCAAGTCATTTATTATTTTACTTTGTAATTATTATTTACATGACTTTACTCTATTATTATTACATATATTAGTTTACTCTATATCTTGCTGAACATCCAGTTCTGCTCCTAAGTTCTTCCTCTTGCAGGTCTAAAAAGAAGAAGTGGGATGTGGTACGCCAGCGTGTGTGGAGCAATGGGACAGAATCGGAAATGTTCAACAAACTGGAAAGCATTGCCATGTCAGACTCGCCTTGCACACCCGTTCTGGGCTGCCGCATCAGCAGAGCATTGGAGCCAGTGGCTGTCAAGGGTGAGGTGAGAGAGAGATTCGGGGTGGTAGTGATGGATCACTTTGCATTTTAAGTGCCCTTACTAAGAGTTGTCATTCAGTGCTAATCAAGGTGGTCAAGTGCAACATTCACACTTGCCTCAAGCAGACTAGAGTTCTTTCTCCCACCCTGGACATCATTCCACAGATATATAAACCTCACTTGCCTAGTTTCCAACAGACCTCACAACCTCTGAGGATGCCTGCCATAGATGTGGCGAAACGTCAGGAGAGAATGCTTCTGGAACATAGCCATACAGCCCAGAAAACTCACAGCAACCCAGTGATTCTGGCCATGAAAGCCTTCGACAACACAAGGGAGAGTTTACTATAGCACTTAATTTATTCCACAAACAAATCAAAGCAGCAACATAGGAAGTCATATATTGTGCATAGCATAGTTTTTTTATGGGTTTGCTGCATGGTAATCGATAGATGACATAGCTAGCTTTGAATCAAAATAGTCAGAAGAGGATGTGTTTACCTTAGTGTTTTTATTTCAGTTTGTCACCAGCAGAGTGAACTGGGTGGTTCAGAGCTCAGCCGTGGACTACCTGCACCTGATGCTTGTGGCCATGAAATGGCTCTTTGAGGAGTACCGCATTGATGGGCGCTTTTGCATCAGCATCCATGACGAAGTGCGCTACTTAGTGCAGAGCGAGGACCGCTATCGGGCAGCTCTGGCCCTGCAGATCACCAACCTCCTGACACGGTAAACGCTCTTCCAGTTCTTCTTGTTGTTGTTATTCGGCTTAGTTTTACTCCACTTTCCCCAAAAGAGACTCAAAGTGACTACTTATGACATTTCAAAGAGTAATGTTATAGGCCAGGCATGGGCCAGCTAACACCTCCCAACAAAGGATTCCCCCCAGGCAGGAAGCAGCCAGGCTTCGAAGCTGCAAGGCTATTTAATGCTAAGACTAACTACTTATGATATTTCAAAGACTAATGTTATAAGCCAGGCATGGCCCAGCTAACACCTCCCAACAAAGGATTCCCCCAGACAGGAAGCAGCCAGGCTTCGAAGCTGCAAGGCCATTTAATACTTATGACATTTCAAAGACTAATGTTATAAGCCAGGCATGGGCCAACTAACATCTCCCAACAAAGGATTCCCCCAGGCAGGAAGCAGCCAGGCTTTGAAGCTGCAAGGTCATTCAATGCTAATCGGGGTGGCCAGTTGCAGCATTCAGACTTTCCCCAAGCAGACAAGAGTTCTTTCTCCCTCCCTGGACATTCCACAGATATATAAACCCCACTTGCCTAGATTCCAATAGACCTCACAACCTCTGAGGGTACCAGGAGAGAATGTATTATATGGGTCTTCTTCACCAGGCATTGGCCAACTTGGGCCTTCTTGGTGTTTTGGACTTCAACTCCCACCAGTCCTTACAGCCTCAGGCCCTCTCCTTTCCCCCCCAGCCTCTTAAGCAATACAAGCAGGTGTGCATGTAGCTTAGTAGCCCTCAGACTGAGAGAAACGCCTCAGTGAGTGAGGCATCAGTCTGAGAGAGCCCTCATTGTGAGGTAGGCCTCAGTGGGAGAAATGCCTCAGTGTGAAAAGGAAAGGGCCTGAGGCTGTTAGGAATGGTGGGCATTGCAGTCCAAAACACCTGGGTAATAGTATGAAACTGAGAGAAATGCCTCAGTGAGTGAGGCACAGTCTGAGAGAGCCCTCATTGTGAGGTAGGCCTCAGTGTGAGAGAGGCCTCAGTGGGAGAAATGCCTCAGTGTGAAAAGGAAAGGGCCTGAGGCTGTTAGGAATGGTGGGCATTGCAGTCCAAAACACCTGGGTAATAGTATGAAACTGAGAGAAATGCCTCAGTGAGTGAGGCACAGTCTGAGAGAGCCCTCATTGTGAGGTAGGCCTCAGTGTGAGAGAGGCCTCAGTGGGAGAAATGCCTCAGTGTGAAAAGGAAAGGGCCTGAGGCTGTTAGGAATGGTGGGCATTGCAGTCCAAAACACCTGGGTAATAGTATGAAACTGAGAGAAATGCCTCAGTGAGTGAGGCACAGTCTGAGAGAGCCCTCATTGTGAGGTAGGCCTCAGTGTGAGAGAGGCCTCAGTGGGAGAAATGCCTCAGTGTGAAAAGGAAAGGGCCTGAGGCTGTTGAAGTCCAAAACACCCAGAGGGCCCAAGTTGGCCCATGCCTGAGCTACAGGGTGAAAGATGTCCAGAATGCCATCGTGTGTGCAAGCGTCAGCAAATAGGAAGGTTTGAACTCTCTCCTACTGAACAAAGAACATTCAAAGGACACTTTTGACTCCAAGGCTTAACTTAAACAGATCTGCAATGTATGTCCCTTTTTTCTAGGTGCATGTTTGCCTATAAGCTAGGCCTCCAAGACCTGCCTCAGTCAGTTGCCTTTTTCAGCGCTGTGGATATTGACCGGTGTTTACGGAAAGAGGTGACGATGGATTGCGTCACTCCATCGAACCCAACAGGGATGGAGAGACGGTACAGCATCCCGCAGGGTGAGTACAGAGAACTTTTGCTGGGCTGAACGAGGGAAGGCATTAAGTTTTGAAATTATTTTAATTATGCCAATGTTTAATCCTATTTTAATGTTTGCATGTATTACACGTTTATTGTTAGCTGCTTTGAGTCTCCTTTGGCAGCAGAAAAAGTGGGGCATAAATGTAAAAAATAACAATAATAACAATAACAATAATCATACTTACTGACATAATATTCCACTCTTGGAATATTGTGTCCAATTCTGGGCACCACAATTGAAGAGAGATATTGACAATCTGGAATGTGTCCAGAGGAGGGCGACTAAAATGATCAAGGGTCTGGAGAACAAGCCCTATGAGGAGCGGCTTAAAGAGCTGGGCATGTTTAGCCTGAAGAAGAGAAGGCTGAGAGGAGATATGATAGCCATGTATAAATATTAGGCCTGGGCGGTTTCGTTCGTTAATTTTGTAATTCGTTAAATATTCGTTATTTTTAACAATTACAAAATGATTTCAAAACATATTTTCAAACCCGGAAGGGTTTTTCAATATCGAAACGGCATCCTCCATCCTTTTTACGAGCTTCCGCCCGTTTCGGAAATGACGTTTAAGGGATGGAGGATGCTGGGTGCCCTGGGAGCCAATCCGGCGCTCCCAAGCACCATGGCTGATTGTGATTGGGTGGGCTGCCCTTTAAAAGCGGCTCCGCGTGGCCGCATTGCTCATTGCGAAGGCGAGGGAGGAGACGGGAGGTCGGGAGGGAGGCTTGGCTTGAATTCATTGCTTGCATTCATTTCTTGCTTTCATTCATGCATTGTTCTCGCCCTACAACAGGGCCTTGTGAGCCTGTGTGTGTGTGTTTCCCCCTGTCTTGTGGCTGTTGGCTCCACAGCGGGGAGAGCATTTTGTTAAGTTTCCATTTTTAAATATTTTTGAAAAATACCTTTCTTTTATTCTTAAAAAAAAAATCAAAAAAAATCTAAAAAAAGAAAAGAATCTTGTGTGCCTGTGTGTGCGTTTGTCCCTGTCCTGTGGCTGTGTTCGCTCCACAAGAGGGCAAGTTTTTTGTTAATTTTCCATTTTTAAATATTTCTGATAAATATTTCTTTTATTCTTCAAAAAATTCAAAAAATATTCTAAAAAAAGAAAAGAAACTTGTGTGCCTGTGTGTGTGTGTTTGTCGATTCGTATTTAATAACGAAGTTCGGAAGTCGTTTTTGCGCATGCGCAAATCGCGTCCGCCATTTTAACGAATCGATTCGTTATCACCTTAACGAATCGACCCCCCCGCATCAATAACGAAGTTTCGGAAGTGTTTTGCGCATGCGCGGGGGTCCGCCATCTTAACGAATCGATTCGTTAATAATAACGAAATTTCGTAAATACCGAACTTTTTTAAAGGAAAATTTTGTAATTATTTTAAATAACGAAACGCAAAAACCCCCAAAAAACGAATCGATTTTAGAAACAAATTTTTGCATTGTTACCCAGGCCTATACTCAATATGCCCAAATGTGAACACTGGTGGAGTTTGGGGAAAACAGACCTTGACATTTGGGAGTTGTAGTTGCTGGGATTTATAGCACCGGGATTGTGGCGCAGCTGGCTGAGTGTAGCTGCATCAAGATCACTCTGACCAAAACGTCATGAGTTCGAAGCCAGCCCGGATTGGAGTGGGTTTCCAACCAATTGTGTGTAGCCTGTTGTCGACCTTTGCAACCCGAAAGACAGTTGCATCTGTCAAGTAGGAAAATAAGGTACCACCTTAAAGTGTGGGGAGGCTAAATTAACTGATTTATGAGGCCATAAAGAAGACTCCAGCAAAGCATTCCAGCGGGGAAGCATGCGGGGAATGCGGAAGTGCTTCATCAGTGTCGCAGATGGACGATGAAAGTGACAGCTCCCCTGGCGGCCAGAAAAAGTTAAATAGCCTCTGTGTATGTCTGTATATGTTTGTATGTCAAAATTGGCATTAAATGTTTGTCATATATGTGTACACTGTAATCTGCCCTGAGTCCCCTGCGGGGTGAGAAGGGCGGAATAGAAAAGCTGCAAATAAATAATAAAATAAATTAATTCCACTGATAGAATTGAACCAAACCTGGCACACAGGACTCCCATGACCAACATAAAATACTGGAAGGATTTGGTGGGCACTGACCTTGAGTTTTGGAGTTGTAGTTCACCTATATCCAGAGAATGCTGTGGACTCAATGATGGATTTGGACCAAACCTGGCACAGATACTCAATATGCCCAAATGTGAGCATTGGTGGAGTTTGGGAAAAATAGACCTTGACATTTGGGAGTTGTAGCTGCTGGGATTTATAGTTCACCTACAATCAAAGAGCATTCTGAACCCCACCAACGATAGAATTGGGCCAAACCTTCCACACACAGCCCCCATGACCAACAGAAAATACTGTGTTTTCTGATGGTCTTTGGCAACCCCTCTGACACCCCTTCGCGACCTCCAAAGGGGTCCCGACCCCCAGGTTGAGAAACACTGATCTAGAAGGTTCCGAAGCTGTCTGGTCAGGCGCAGAAACTACCATATGTGCGATTCACAGTTGACCACGATGGGAAAAATAATGTGTATACAAGTCATTTACAATGCAGCCTTGTTTGTTTATTGACATTCACTTAGTAAGAAGTGCAACACAAATGTGTGAATTTGGGGAAACTCCCCCAAAAAAGGTTTTATGTGAAAGGAATATGACATCTTCCTCTCTTTCTCTTCCCCAGGTGATGCTTTGGATATATACCAACTCCTCAAAATCACCAAAAGCTCCTTGGAGAAAGAAAAATAGGGTTTCAGATGTTTCAAAGCTAAAATGTTACATATTGGCTCAGGAAATCCTTCCGCTATCAGACTTTTACGCAACGACCAGCTCCATTCTCCGTTGGATTCTTTTCACTGTCAGAATATCAAGAGGAAGGTGGAAAACCAACAAATGAGTTCAACTTTAAAGGCAAATTCTCAGCTTTTCCCAAAAAAGGAAGGGCTGCGCTTCAATTATGCTCCGCAAGTGCATTATAGAACAGTTGTAAGCAGACTAATAGTCGTGTTAGCATTCAGGGAATCCCATGGAACTTAAGGCACTAAGCTGGCAACTTTTATAATTCACCAGTGATAACATTCCCAAAGGGGAAACAACTTTTGTTTTTTGTCAGGACAAAACCATAACTTGATCCAAATAAAAGCTCTTATTTTTTCCGTCGCTTCTTCCTCTTGGGTTCCTGGCTGGTGTCCGACTGCGCCGAAGCGGGATGCTAAAAGAAAGAAAACAACGCACTTTACACAAACTTTGTTTTGAGGAAACACTTACTTGCTTTGCCAGATCGGCAATTTCCCATTACTGGTTGCTCCCTTGGGGTGAGATCTTATTTTCAGGGAGAGACAGAGAGGATGGTAATAATAATAATAATAATAATAATAATCACAATACTTAATGATATATTAGGAATTTTCTGGCATCACTAGTCTACTCATAACAGTGACAATAATAATAATAATAATAATAATAATAATAATAATAATAATAATAATAATAATAATAATCACAATACTTAATGATATATTAGGAATTTTCTGGCATCACTAGTCTACTCATAACAGTGACAATTAATAATAATAATAATAATAATAATAATAATAATAACAATAACAATACTTAATGATATATTAGGAATTTTCTGGCATCACTAGTCTACTCATAACAGTGACAATAATAATAATAATAATAATAATAATAATAATAATAATAATCACAATACTTAATGATATATTAGGAATTTTCTGGCATCACTAGTCTACTCATAACAGTGACAATAATAATACTAATAATACTAATAATAATAATAATCACAATACTTAATGATATATTAGGAATTTTCTGGCATCACTAGTCTACTCATAACAGTGACAATAATAATAATAATAATAATAATAATAATCACAATACTTAATGATATATTAGGAATTTTCTGGCATCACTAGTCTACTCATAACAGTGACAATAATAATAATAATAATAATAATAATAATAATAATAACAATAACAATACTTAATGATATATTAGGAATTTTCTGGCATCACTAGTCTACTCATAACAGTGACAATAATAATAATAATAATAATAATAATAATAATAATAATAACAATACTTAATGATATATTAGGAATTTTCTGGCATCACTAGTCTACTCATAACAGTGACAATAATAATAATAATAATAATAATAATAATAATAATAACAATACTTAATGATATATTAGGAATTTTCTGGCATCACTAGTCTACTCATAACAGTGACAATAATAATAATAATAATAATAATAATAATCACAATACTTAATGATATATTAGGAATTTTCTGGCATCACTAGTCTACTCATAACAGTGACAATAATAATAATAATAATAATAATAATAATAATAATAACAATACTTAATGATATATTAGGAATTTTCTGGCATCACTAGTCTACTCATAACAGTGACAATAATAATACTAATAATACTAATAATAATAATAATCACAATACTTAATGATATATTAGGAATTTTCTGGCATCACTAGTCTACTCATAACAGTGACAATAATAATAATAATAATAATAATAATAATAATAATAACAATACTTAATGATATATTAGGAATTTTCTGGCATCACTAGTCTACTCATAACAGTGACAATAATAATAATAATAATAATAATCACAATACTTAATGATATATTAGGAATTTTCTGGCATCACTAGTCTACTCATAACAGTGACAATAATAATAATAATAATAACAATACTTAATGATATATTAGGAATTTTCTGGCATCACTAGTCTACTCATAACAGTGACAATAATAATAATAACAATAACAATACTTAATGATATATTAGGAATTTTCTGGCATCACTAGTCTACTCATAACAGTGACAATAATAATAATTGCTAGAAGAAGGATATTTCTCCCTGTTGCCATATCTGCTCACCTGGTCATTGTCGGGTTCATTCTCAGCATCATCTGCATCCTGTTCCTGTAGCGCACTCTCCACCGTCGAGACGTTGATGCGGAAGTCCCGAGAGGTACTCAGTTTCATATACTGCATCAAATTTACCTGCAGAAACCAAAAAGACGGCCAATGTTTACACCACTACGTAACAAAATTTGCAAAATATTCTGTTCCTGGTTTGAAAAGTGTTAAAGGTAAACCTAGGTCATGTAGCCAACATGACTGCATGGAGCGCCATTTCCTTCCTGTCGGAGGGGTACCTATTGAAGAGGGGGGGGGCAGGGGACAGTTCCACCTTGTCTTGAGCATATGTCATCAGTTGAGGACCCCTCCCCCAGTACCAACTGCCAATCTGGGCCAGAGTGAAGAGAGAGGGGGCCAGGGGTGGGTTCCACCTTGTCTTCTGTGTTATGCTTTTTTTTATTGTGTCATCAGCAACCATACCATTGTATTACATTTCTAACAGAACAAAACAAACAGAGGTGCCAGAGCGCAGTCTGTTCAGCGCCTTCCAAGTCGCCCAGTCTTCTGTGTGCCCAGGGGGAGTCTCTCATCTGGTATCACCCATGAATTGAGGTGCTGGGTTTGGGCCTGCCACTTTTGGACTCTCGCTTGCTGGGGTGTTCCAGCGAGTGTCTCTGTAGATCTTAGAAAACTATGTCTTGATTTAAGTCATTGATGTGGTGGATGATACCCAAACAAGGGATGAGCTGGAGATGTCTCTGCCTTGGTCCTTTCACTATTGGCTGCTACTTCCCGGCGGATGTCAGGTGGTGCAATACCGGCTAAGCAGTGTAATTTCTCCAGTGGTGTAGGGCGCAGACACCCCGTGATGATGCGGCATGTCCCATTAAGAACCAAATCCACTGTATTAGCGTGGTGAGATCTGTTCTACACTGGGCATGCTATTCAGCAGCAGAGTAGCATAGCACAGGGCAGATGTCTTCACTGTGTCTGGTTGTGATCCTCAGGTTGTGCCAGTCAGCTTTCATATAATATTGTTTCTAGCGCCCACTTTTTGCTTGATGTTCAGGCAGTGCTTCTTGTAGGTCAGAGCACGGTCCAGAGTGACTCCCAGGTATTTGGGTGCGCTACAGTGCTCCAGTGGGATTCCTTCCTAGGCCACCCTCAGAGCTCGGGATGCTTGTCTGTTCTTGAGGTGAAAGGCACATGTCTGTGTTTTAGATGGGTTGGGGATGAGCTGGTTTTCCCTGTAATAGGCAGTAAGAGCACCTAGAGCTTCGGAGAGCTTCTGTTCAACCATCTCAAAGCTCCCTGCTTGAGCAGTGATGGCACGATCATCAGCATAGATGAAACTCTCTGTCCCTTTTGGCAGTGGCTGGTCATTTGTGTAGATGTTGAACATGGATGGAGCAAGCACGCTCCCCTGAGGCAGGCCGTTCTTCTGTTTCCGCCATCTGCTTCTCTGGCCCTAGAACTCAACAAAAAAGCTCCTGTTTTGTAGCAGGTTTCCTATGAGGCAGGTGAGGTGGTAGTCCTTTGTGATATTATACATTTTTCTCAGGAGGAGGCTATGCTAATAATATAATATAATATAGTATAATATAATATTTATGTAATGCAATGTATCTCCTGGGCATTTCATATTCGAAATTCAATGCGGGCCATGATAAAATGTTCTTCCTGTTAAGTACAGCTGCCAGGATAACACTGGCCAAAATATGGAAACAAAAAGAAACCCCAACAATTGAAGATTATATAAGGACGACATCACCACCAAGCGTTAATTGGACTCTTTGAAAACTATGGGAAGTCTATACACAGGGGACGGGGTTAAGGGTGATTTACATTTATGTATAGTACGTTCTCTGCTTTGTCTTTGATTTCTTCCCCCCCTTTTTTTGTCCTTTCCTCTTCTTTCTATTATCTACCTTTTATTTTAAGTTTGTAAAAGAAAATTTGCACAGTAAAAAGTATATTAAAAAAAATAATGTAATGCAATATAATACTAATAATAATATATTATAATTATATTTTTGTATGGCATGCAATATTACTAATAATATTACAATGTAATGGTATAGTACAATATAGTAATATTTAATACTGATATTGTACTATGCTAATAATATAATATATTGTATGAATATATTTTGTAAGCCGCTCTGAGTCTCCTTCAGGGTGAGAAGGGCGGCATATAAACGTCGTAAATAATAAATAAATATTGATCTACTCATACTTGCATCTTTTCAAACTGCTAGATTGGCAGAAGCTGGGGCTAACAGCGGGAGCTCACCCCGCTCCCCGGATTCAAACCGCCAATCTTTCAGTCAGCAAGTTCAGCAGTTCAGTGCTTTAACCTTCCGCACCACCAGGGTGCCCATGAAAAGTGTTACATGACCTTGGAGGTGTCTACGGACAATGCCGGCTCTTCGGCTTAGAAATGGAGATGAGCACCAACTTAATGTCAAGGGGAAACCTTTACCTTTACCTTACCATCTCCACAGGGACTTGGGATGGCTTACAAAGCACACAATGGTGCCATACAAAATATAAAATACGATATATCAACACGAATGGTGGTGGCAGCGAGAGTAGGGCCTCTCCAGATGCTCCTAGGCATTGGGCAGGTTGGTATATAATAATAACAACAACAACAACAACAACAACACTGTATTTTTACCCTGCTACCATCTCCCCAAGGGACTCGGTGCGGCTTACATGAGGCCAAGCCCGCAACACACCAATAAACGAAACATCAGTAAAATAAAACATCAATAAACAATCAAAACAATGAGGAGATCAATTGATTGCCTTAGTCTACTCTAGTTGGGAGTAGCCAACAGGGATGCCGTGGCTTCAAAAACATTAATATGGAATGTTACCTTGGACTTTTTGGAGAGATGGATCAGAAAATTCTCGTATTGTTCTATTGCGAAAATCAAGTTTGGGATTGGCTTCGTCTCCCGCAAGACTTTGGCCTATATAGAAAAAGAGGAAAGGAACGTAGTTAAGTTGGTTTTGTTTTGGTTTTTTTGCTAGAGATCTGTGCATATCCTTTAAACCAAAACACTTACCACGACAGTAGAAACTTCTGCTGATATCTTCTCCTTCTTTTTCTTTTCTGCCGCAAAACTTACGGTTTCACTCTGGAGGGAATAGAGAGAGCAAGAGTGAGAACTCTACAGAAGTGCAAGAATACAAAATATAGCAAAATGTGGTTGCTGTGCGAGCAACATACGAAATATGTATTGTCGAAGGCTTTCATGGCCGGAATCACTGGGTTGTTGTAGGTTTTTCCGGGCTATATGGCAAATTGCCTCCAGAACATGGCCATATAGCCCGGAAAAACCTACAACAACCCAACACATGAAATAAATTGGTTATTCCTAAAGTCCCACAAGAGTTTAGATTCTCATCAACTGTCATACAGATGTATAAACAGATGATACAGAATAGTGTTTCTCAACCTGGGGGGTCGGGACCCCGGGGGGGGGGGGGTCGGGAGGTGTCAGAGGGTCACCAAAGACCATCGAAAACACTGTACTTTCTGTTCGTTATGGGGGTTCTGTGTAGGAAGTTTGGCCCAATTCTATCGTTGGTGGGGTTCAGAGCGCTCTTTGATTGTAGGTGAACTACAAATCCCAGCAACTACCCAAATCTCAAGGTCTGTTTTCCCCAAACTCCACTACTGTTCACATTTGGGCATACTGAGTATCCATGCCAAATTTGGTCCAGATCCACCACTGTTTAAGTCCACAATGCTATCTAGATGTAGTTGAACTACAACTCCCAAGCTCAAGGTCAATGCCTGTGATGAAGTGTAAAAAGTTATCTACAGTTATGTATTGTTATAGATTGGTCTTTGTAAGGGTAAGTATATAATGTTGCATAATATTGGGGGATGGTAGCCAGCTTAGCTCGCTTTGAGCTGGGTTGCTATGGAGATAGGGGCGGAGCCAACTGCCACTTGGCAGAGCAGCCATTTTAAAGCAGTCAGTCTGTGGTCGGTGAACTGCAGAGGTGGCTGGTTCTGTCGCGTGTGGAGAACCAGTGAGGAGTCTGTAGACAAAGAACTACAGGGGAAGGCTGATCCTTTGGTATTAAGAATCAAGAAGGTTTTGGCTTTGAGCCAATATAGTTTAGATAAGTCAAGTGACTTATTTATATTAAAAGTAATGGTTGTGGAAAAAGAGGGGAAGCCCTAATAAGCATTTTTATTGTAACAGAACCATCATAAAGAAATAATAAGCGTGTGGGTTGTTGTAGGTTTTTCCGGGCTACATGGCCATGTTCTGGAGGCAATTTTTCTCCTGACGTTTCGCCTGCATCTATGGCAAGCATCCTCAGAGGTAGTGAGGTCTGTTGGAAGTAGGAAAATGGTTTTACCACCCTCACAACCACCATGTCAGACTACACAGAGAAGCCATTGAAATCCACAAGCATGTGGACAATTTCAACAGAAAGGAAGAGACCATGAAAATGAACAAAATCTGGCTACCAGTATTAAAAAACTCAAAAATTACAACAGCAAAACAACAGAGAGTAAACAATCAGGCACATCAATTCACTCTCAACAAGAGATTCCCCCCAGGCGCTTCCAGGCCATTGAATGCAAATCAAGGTGATCAGCTGAAACATTACCCTGGTCATTCCACAGATATATAAACCCATTTTTCTTACTTCCAACAGACCTCACTACCTCTGAGGATGCTTGCCATAGATGCAGGCGAAACGTCAGGAGAAAAATTGCCTCCAGAACATGGCCATATAGCCCGGAAAAACCTACAACAACCCAGTGATCCCGGCCCTGAAAGCCTTCGACAATACAATAAGCGTGTGCCTCAAACAAAGAAATTAACATCTTTTTTAAGGAACTAAGTTTGAGACCTGTTTGTTAGTACAATTAGACCTCCTAAGAGTTATTTAAGAACTGTTTTGAATGTAACCTTTGAAGGTCTGTACCTCTAAGAGAAAGGACACTTTGAAACCATCAAGCTTCTGTACCTCAATAAGCTTGTTACAGTTTCTTTTGAAAGTCAAGCCTATGTTGCCATTCTTTTCCAAGTCAAGTCACGCTACATATTGAAGAAAGACCAAAGCAACATTACAAGCTATTGGTTGTGTCATCAATTTAATAAGCCCTCACAAAGAGGTGGCTTCTTTTTTCAACTCTCTACATAGTGATAGTAGTTATATTTATACATCCTTGCAATTTGGTGGCACTATTACAAATTAGTGGCCAAGCCCTTACACTTAGTAGCAGTAATTTAAGGGCTCCTTCAGAATGCCCACCTAACCCTTCCAGTATTTTCTGTTGCTCTTCGGAGTTTTGTGTGCTAAGTTTGGTTCAATTCTATCATTGGTGGAGTTCGGGATGTTTTTTGATTGTAGGTGAACTATAAATCTCAGCAACTACAACTCCCAAATGACAAAATCAACCCCTCCTAATCCCACCAGTATTCGAATTTGGGTGATTTGGATATTTTTGCCAAATTTGGTCCAGTGAATGAAAATACATCCTGCATATCAAATATTTACGTTACAATGCATAAAAGTAGCAAAATTACAGTTATGAAGTAGTAACGAAAATAATGTTATGGTTAGGGGTCACCACAACATGAGGAACTGGATTAAGGGGTCGTGGCATTAGGAAGGTTGAGAACTACTGATATAGAAGGTATAGGAAACTGTGCAGAGGTGAATGGCTTTGTGCGTTCCTTGAAAGACAGGAGGCTAGGCTGGACTGGATGGCCTTTGGGGGTCCCTTCCAACTCTGTGATTCTATTTTTGCCCCAAACCACAATTGAAGAAGGTTCAGCATTTGGCCTGTATATCCCACTGTTAGCTTCAGCATCCCTTGCCTCCATGCCCTGTTGATAAATATTCGGGAAATCAGAAATTCAGTTCATGACCGCATCTCTGTTTACGAACCCACACGATCTCTTCGATCATCTGGAGAGGCCTTGCTCGTGATCCCACCTGCATTGCAAGCGCAATTGGTGGGGACGAGGGACAGAGCCTTCTCGGTGGTGGCCCCTCGACTCTGGAACTCTCTCCCTAAGGACATCATACAGGCCCCAATGCTGGCAATTTTTAGGAGGAGCTTGAAAACGTGGTTGTTCCAGTGTGTCTTCCCAGAATAAGGAAATTCCATGCATTATGTCCCCAAATGTACTTTACTAGAGAACCAGGATATCTGCATGCCCATCCCCCTCCAAATACCTTTTCACCTGGTCATGCCCAGCACATTTTTTAATTTTAATTGTAACATTTGGTCCTGCTGTAGATTTTAATGTGTCGTGGTGTTTGTTAATGTTTATTTTGTTTTTGAGTTCATTTTGTTGTATTGTTGTTGTTTTTACTGATGTATTTGGGCTCGACCTCTTGTAAGC